AATTATCATATCCACTCGCTTTATCACGGCGAAAATTCTCGTAAGCTTTACGTGCGGATTGGACCGTCTGAAATCAGTTTGGATGCTCGAAACGTGCATTCTTCCTCGTTCTCGTCACTTTCGAGGGAGGAAGAAAGGAAGATGGAAAGATAAGTTAATAGTCAGAAAATGGAAATGGGAGAAATTAAATATGCAGCAACAGTGGGGATTCGAATCTTTTGTAATTCTTATTCGCTACGTTCAACGATCGTGAGACTGTTACATTTTTATGCATTTTACTCTACTTTACATTGGCAGAAAAGTCTTTTCGATTCGTCAAAATGGCATTCAAGTTGTTATTTCTTCTTTAAACCTGTGATGTATTCACTTGGGTATAATGAACTGAGATCCATAAGATCCATCTATGATCCATATTTGACGAATCGTTGAAACTTTCTTTAAGTTTTTTTTCAATCAGCTATATTAGTTTTACGATTTCAATCGCTATGTTTATTTTTTCGGTGATTTTTTTTTTGGTATTGTAAATACTCGTGGATTTTATTTTCGAAAGTTTTAAAAAAAAGTAAAACTAAACTCACAGAATTCTAGTTTGTTTATATATGCTCTAATATAATATATAGTTCAAATATTTCTTTTTATTTTAAGTGAAAATCAGTTCTGAATTTTGACGTTCGCATACATTGTCGACAATTTACCTTGAATGCAAGTCGTATAATTTACTTTAATCGAAGAGACAGTCCATCGTAATAATTTAAAATCACTTTGTACGTGTAAGTCGGGTATACGCAAATGAACATCGATAACTTCGTCGAGAAATAAAACAAAATAGATTTATATGCGCGAGCTAATCTTAAATTTAAAATAAACTCCCGATATCATATTATATCATTTCTAAAATTTTTTTTTATTACAGTCATTGTTCTGATTTGATTCTAATTTTCGGAATTGCTCGTGACGCGACATTTTTTCAATGACAATTCATCGTTTGTAATTAACGTCAAAGTGTCTCTAAGAAATTTATTAATGAATTACTAAAAACATCTCATTAAAATCGATGTTAATCATAATTAGAGAGTATGAGTAAGTATAAGTATAAGTATAAGGCAAAGAGAGCGATCGACGCGCAAACCGCGTCCATCTTATCTTGCTTCTTAATTTCTAAGCTAATTACTGAATTCTTCGCGACAGCCGCAGCGCTTCACCGTGCATTTTTATTTCAACAGGTAACAGCAAGACCTCGATGAACATTGGAACACGCGTTGCCGCGGGAATCACAACAGGCGCTTTGGCAGTGATGATCGCTCAGCCGACCGACGTTGTCAAAATCCGCATGCAGGTTGGAAATAATGGACGATCAACCGTGAGATATAGTTCCACTCTCCAGGCGTACAAGAACATCGGCAATGTGGAAGGTGTCAAAGGCCTTTGGAAGGGTGAGTCCTCTTTCTCTTTTTGTAGAATATTTATAAAATCCCCTCGCTAAAATCTTCCTTTTTTTTTTTATTCGTAGAATTTGATTTTGGATAATTGTAAGACAATAACGAAATATAAGAGAAAATAAAATATACTTCTTTAATGTGATGGCAATTTTGATGAGTCACTGTTTCGTCGTATGCAGGAACCATGCCGAACGTCTCGCGGAACGCCATCGTGAACGTGGCGGAGATAGTCTGTTACGATGTCATCAAGGATCTTATTCTGGCCAGCGGTTATCTCCGCGATGGAATACCGTGTCACTTGACCGCCGCGACCGCCGCAGGGCTGTGTACCACTTTAGCGGCAAGTCCCGTGGACGTGGTGAAGACGCGTTACATGAACAGCGCCCCCGGCGAGTACAAGGGCGCGATAGACTGCGCCGTCAAGACCTTCGTCCAAGAAGGCCCGACCGCGTTCTACAAGGGCTTCGTGCCGAGTTTCTCGCGCCTGGTATCTTGGAACATCGTACTGTGGGTGACCTACGAGCAGATCAAGTTACACATGAAGAAGTTACACGGCATCGAGTGAGATCCTCATTTACCGAGCCCGATTGTTCTGCCGATCTGCCGCGATCGGTACCCATCCATCGTAATCTCCTATGTTATCTTCTGGAAAATTCGCATTTCTGTAGAAAACTAGCGCTTTTGCTTAGATAAAACCGTGCTAATCAGATGTAGGTGAATTAAAAGTTCGATATACGGATACAATTTCAACCGATGGTGAATATCCTCGTATTACTGCTTCTTTTTTTGCTCGTTTTTGCGCAAACGCGATGTACGCGTATCGGTGTCTATCGTCGCATTATCAAATAATAAATATAAAAATTATTTGCACCCTTGGAAGTAGCGATTAGCGCGATAGAAATAGAGCTGTTGTCTCGTTTTGGTTTACTCTAATTTTCATAAATGTACGTATGAAATCCTTATGTAGAAACAGTGAGGATTTCTTGGCAATTTGTATGAGACAAATTTTGACTGCGTCAGCTTAATAAATATATAATAAGATGTTAGGCTATTTCTTAGCAGAGTGGATTATACAATAATTACATCATTAATGCGCCAAACAGACAATAATGTTATCAAAGTCATTCATTCCGATGTCTTTGCTTACATCTACAGTCTCATAAAAAACTGTGATCACAAACTAACGAATCCTTTTTTTAGCGTTGCTTTAATTAACTGATTCACGAGCGTAACGCGCAATTTTTTGCATGTACAACATAATCTCAATTTAGTCAATTGATATTATACAGGGCACAATTTGTATTGTAATTTAATCGACAATTTGTTTTTAAACTATATTGCCATTACAAGTAGTTTATTCTCGAAGCAGCGATGTGAAAATCCTCTATTACAAGCAAAGTTACGTATTGTATATAGATATTTATTATTTATAATAAAATATAATTATAATAAAATACAATAAAATACATTATTGCTAAATCTTAAGATGCGATTTGAAATACATTTATGCAATACATGCGTATCGCCAAATTTCGATTACAACTATTTTATCTTAAAATGATGTGTATATATATATATATATATATATATATATATATATAATAATACTAATACTA